CCCGCTTCTTGTATTGGGTCCCACTCCACCCCATACCTCCCCGCCCCGAGGGGGTGGGGGGGGGGGTTACGGGGGGTGTGAAGTCCACCACATCTTCAAGTTGCCAAGGTTGTGGAACCCTGTTCTAGTCCAGTGTTTCTCAACCTTGGGAACTTTAAGATGGGTGGACTTCAACTCCCAGAATTCCTCAGTCAGCATGCACATCGGGACTGGCTGGGGAATTCTGGGAGTGGAAGTCCACCCAGCTTAAGGTTCCCAAGATTGAGAAACACTGTTCTAAGCTAAATGAGATGCATATGTGCAGGTCATCTGATGGAATGTGGCACTTGTATCTGGAAAGCAAACCCTGTTTCATCTTGTCTTCGCATATCAATTCAGCCTGGTATTAGGTGATGAGAAGCGGTGCCTTTGCAAAATTACAAATAAGCACATTGATTTTCATCGGGTCCACTCTTCCATTTGCATGCGCAACACCGAATTTCATGTTCGAAGGAAGGAGGAGGATGGGATTCTTTGAATAAATAGTATGGCTCTTTATGGACTCCCAAAATTCAATAATACAGCTTTATAATTTTGCCAGTGCATCAGAGGTCCAGAATGTTATTTTTAATCATTGTGGCAAACCGGTTTGGGACTCTCCTACTCGTGTCTTCCCAGGTGGTCCTTGATTCCTGGATGTTCTGCCCTGTGCTACCACCATCTTGGTGAAGGTCTCCAAGGATGAAAATGGAAGGAGAAGGGTCTCCAGGTTGCCCGCTGGGAGAGCCATCCAGACGCGTTGGAGAAATCCCTCAGGGGGTCATTGTCGATTGCAAGACCAAGTCCAGTGGGGGCTTGAGAGGACGAGGCAAATCTCTGGAGGGAAATACCGGAAGGCCCCGTGGGCAGGCCATCCTGCCTCAGGTGAAGGAGGAATCAGGAGAGAACGTGGCCCAGCACTGGGAAGTCCAGTGGCAGACTTTTCTGCGGACAGTGGAGTCCTCTCATTCAGGCTGGGGAGTCGCCCATTTTCCAGAGGACCCTTCCTTATGGGAAGACGCCAAGACCTTCCTGGGCTCCTTCGAGCAAGTGGCCGAGGCCTGTCGGTGGCCCAGGGAGGTGTGGGTGGCTCGGCTCTTGCCCGCACTCCGGGGAGAAGCCAAGCAGGCCTTTGATAAGTTAGAGGCTGGAGACCGAGAGGACTATGGGAAAGTGAAGACAGCCATCTTGCGGGGGGACGCTCTGAGCAGAGAGAAGATTCGCCAGCGCTTCCGGCAGTTTGGCTACTGGGAGGCCGACGGGCCGAGAGCTGTCTATGCCCGGCTGCAGGAACTCTGCCGCCAGTGGCTGAAGACCGAGAAGAACAGCAAAGAGCAGATCGTGGAGCTGCTGGTCTTGGAACAGTTTCTGGCCATCCTTCCCCCAGAAATGCAGACCTGGGTGTGTGAGTGTGGCATGGAAACCTGTGCTGAAGCGGTGGCCCTGGCGGAGGATTTCCTTTTGAGGCAGCGAGAGGCTCAGCGGAAGGAAAAGCAGGTGAGTTTGACCTGTTGGCTGCGTTCTTCCAAGAGACGTGGGCCCTGTGAGGAGACGCTCCTGCTTTCGAACAGGAGAACCATTCTGATTTTGCATTTTCTATTAATGCAGTCAGGAGCAGTGCGGGCAGCACAAGCTGAGCAGCGGTCTTTATGTATTGGTATATAAAAAACAGCCATTTAAAATCTTCAACTTTAAAGCCATCTTTTCATCAGCAACACAATAGTTAATCAAATACAGATTGAAAAATGCAGGTAGTCCTCATTTAGTGGCCACAATTGGGACTGGCAGCTTGGTCATTAAGCGAAGTGGTCGCTAAGTGAAACTACAGGTGTGCATGCAGTCTGACTTAAGCGTTCCTTTTCTTTACAGACCTGGGAAGGTCATCAATGCAAGGATTGGTTGTAAATTTTTTCATCACCATTGTAACTGCGTATGGTTGCTGAACAAGGCAGTCGCTAAATGAGGACTACCTGTAATGTGGGAGCCACCATTAATGAGGTTCTGACCCCAGGGCCTGCAAGTCTGTAACAAATGTGGACAACCTGTGGACCTCCAGATGTGTAGGATTACTTCTCCCATCATCCTTGATCTCTGACCAGAAAGTCTTGGCCTTTCCCACAGACATTGGGGTTAGGATGTTAGTATTGGGGCTCTGGTATGGGTGTATGTGATTAGTGGTTTTCTGGTTTTACTGAGCCTCGATGTAGTTTTATTTGATTTTGTTGGTTTAATGGAATTCTTTGTTTTTATCTTGTTCACCGCCCGGAGTGGGTTGGAGAGATGGGCAGGCATATAAATTGGATGGAGAGAGAGAGAGAGAGAGTCTGGGTGGCTGGATCTGGGTGATTGCAGCTGAAGTCCGACATCTGGAGGGCCCCAAATTCCTACCCTCACTGATGGGCCATAGAAAGCTGTGGCCCTCTCAGTGTCCCTGCGGTCATGTGATCATGATTTGGACACTTGGCAACCGGCACAATGGTTGCAGCATCCCATTGTCACATGATCGCCATTTGTGACCTTCCCTGGTGGCTTCCCACAAGCAAAGTCAATGGGGAAGCTGGAAGGAAATTGCAAGTCATGGTCACATGACATTGCACTCAACAACTGTGGGTGATTTGCTTAATGATCGCAGCCGGAACTGACAAACTGCCATTGTAAGTTGGGCGCAGTCATGTGATTTTTCACTTTACGACTGTCGCTTAGCAACAGAGTTGCCAGTTCCAATTGCGGTCGGTAAGTGAGGACTACTTGTATATATTAGGCCCTCCAACCCTCATACTGACCCCTCCCCTGTGCTGGAGTGGGGGACTCAGCAGTGCTTGAAGGCAAACAGGTGCTTCGGAGCAGATGTGAAAGACACATGCAGCCCCTTGTCTGCAACCCTTTAAAGCAGCTGTGTCTTCTCCTGGAGCTGCACAGCCTTCCTAGATAGATCTGTGAATTCAGCTTGTGTGGAATTTCGCTTGATCTTCCAAAGAATGTCCGTAAAAGCCTCTTTATGGTTCACCAAGCAACTCTATTCCAATTTCTTCCTTGGCTGAGTTCCAAGTACTGAGCAGAGAAAAGGGTCAGATTGTACTATTTAACCCCATCTGTGACTTGTTCCTTTTTGGATCTCATAGGGGGCCTTGGAGGAGGCCCAGGCTGTTTTCTCCTGGACTCCCCCAGGGCCTGGACAGGGACCCCTCTATGCTGAATCGAAGCAGGAAGGCAGCGATGGACATGCCACCTTGTTAGGTAAGGAGTGTGTGTTTGTATTCCAGGTCTTGGATCACGGAGGTTCCTTGCTGCACTGGAATCCCTCCTCTCCCGTAAGGGAGCTGGGGAACTCCTCTCTTCCTAAAAATCACCGGGCTCCTGGGAAAACTGAGAGAGAGTGGAGGAGAGGAATTCACATAGCTGCCTGTCCAAGATACTTTAATTTGAACCCTCAGTGGCCTCAGTGGCCCTGTTTTCCATGGCCACAGAAACTAGGACCAGCAATAATGGCCATAAGTTGGAGCTCCCTAGATCTCATTGAAATCTAAGGAAACATGTCCTGGCAGTAAGATCTGTACAAATCTTCTTACAGAGGCTGTGTTCTCCTTCTTCGGAGGATTTTAAGAAGAGGCTGAACAGCCACCTCTGGAGGATGGTTTAACTTGTTTTTCTGGACATGGCAGAAGGTTGGACAGATGATCCTGGTGGTCTCTTCCAACTCT